AATTTGCTTTTCCTTGACAAAGACGTAAGTGTTGGTGTTCTTCTCTTCGGGTTTGTTTCTTCTTTTGTTTACATTCATTCATTTCATACATTTCTTTCCCAGGGTGTTCAAATTGAGGGAATTATTCATGGAGAACATGTACACCAATTCCTTGGGTACTTTCGTGAAGATTACATTTATATTATATCACATTTTGTCGTTGAAGAGAATACAAGCAGCCATCGTGTTTCTCCTGGACACCTACGACTTGGGTTTAGAGCCGATACGGTTGTTCGTAAAAGGGAAGACACTGATGACATCCGCACTTTGAGTTTTCATTTTCTGGCTTATGAGGACTTTCCATTCTTTTTGACAACTCCTCCAGTTCTTCATGGTAACTATCCTCCTAATATTCAAAATACCATTTGTTTTTTATACTAATCAATAGTTTAGGTACTGATGGGTTGTGGTATACTTAGATTTGGTTGGTAGAATAGTTATGTGCAACCAGACCAATGTTATCAATCCAGGACTACCACTACAAAGAAAATGAATTCGCCTCCAGCTGATAGAGTATGTATTTTTTGTGCCCTATGAATCACTTTGAGCCTACTAATTCCATTCAGAACGAAAATAATATTTTCGTATATCCAACAGGGGAGCTTTTGCTACCGTTGTCTTCTGGGATACCATGATTGCTTCTTTTGAGAACTTGCTTCCCGAAGCAGGATTGTTTGGCCAAGTGGTGGCATTAACATCACTATATCTAGAACATGATGAAGGTAAACCCATATTCTTGCTTACTCTAAAAGAAGTACTGATTATTCAACACAGTAGAAACATTTAGGATCATAAATGTGTTTAGAAAATTTGTAGATGAGTCCTTTTACAGAAAACATATTAGTCAAATTTATATAAATGCACCCGAATTCATTTTTCATTTAGACTTTTATTCTAGGAGTTAGCTCAATTATTAAATATTTGAACTTGCCTAATATTTTCTTGATGTTCTTTTAGTGTAAATGTATATCTACATATGAATATTTGTTAACATTACACATTTGGTTTATTGTTTGGAAGATGAGTATGTCTTTATTGCTTCCTGAGCTACAAAGATTTTTGTAGGTCTTCATGCTCCACATATTCATCGAATCCAAACGCGGTTAGTTCGATTGCCCACCAATAACCTTATATATGACATTATAAATGGATTTTATAATGTCTTACCATTGTGTGATTCCATTTATTTGCTAGGGATGTAAACCAAAACTACTTCATCAGTCACCTGACATACGCGGAAGCTGCTGCAGTTAGTCCTCTCTGTATTTTTGTAGACCTAATTGACTTTCAAAGTGACAGAACCAACATGGTACTCATCTATCCTCTTCAAATCGAACTTGACTTCTTAACAAAATTGCTATGGTGTTCATGAGCTAACTTGCTTATACTTTTACAATGATTTTTTGTTCTTCACCTTAGGAAGAGGTGTTCCGCGTCTTTGCACGGGTTATAGAGCTCGAGACTTCAAGGTGTGCAACTACCAATTCAACTATCATCCACCTAACCCTTGTGGATGAGTATGGAGAATTTGAGGTCATATTTAGCTCCCAGTACCTTAGACGAATTGCAGCACCGGTGATTCCAAGAGATCATTTGTTACATGCTGACTTCAACACCATTCTAAAACATCTTCAAGGAAATCAGTACGAGTTGTTCCTGAAAGTTGGCCCATGGAACCAGATTGGGCAGTATTGTGAATTGGTGTTGCTAAAACTGTTCCCATCTCCAGATTAGTAACACTGCTGTATAGAATACAGCGCGGTCCACAGCGTAATTGGATACTTATTTATTTGATTAGTAATATGCTAGGATATGTGAATTGCGGACAACAGTCTTAGTTTGTTCATATTCTGCATCACAACAACAATTTAATTTATTTATATGGTTTATATGATTGTAGGGCATTGTATCTTTATATAGTAGTAAAGACCAGGATTTTTTGAATCCAACTTTTACGATTAATTTTCATCACCCTAATATCTTTTTTTGCTTTCAACGTACCTTTTTCTTTTTCTATATTGAGATCGTCCATACTGCCATTCCATTTCCAAAATTTAATATGTTCATTTAGAATTAATTAATCCTATGTAACTACAAACACTTTATATATTAGTAAGGAGTTGGAAAATGATACAAATATTTAATAATCACTTTTACATATAATTGTCACACATGTACCGTGCTCAAATTTAATTATGTGGACAAAAAAGTAATGTACGCTAAAGTTCTAAATAAACTAAACAACTTTTCACTTTCATGCCTATGTCGAAATAGTGAAAATCATTTAAAGAAAAATTCTATGTATCATCGTAGTTCAATGCTTTTTTTTTTTTTGGAAATATACACCAAGTTTTTCGAATTTCTTTTATGAGCCGAAATTCTTTCTCAATAAGAACAAAAATACCAACATGTTTTTTCCCAAATCAATTTGATTCATAACTACCAATATGATCATCACTGGCTAAGACACAAGCCATATACAATTGTTAGGGGTGTGCAATGGTCCGGTATGTACCGGACCACACCAGACCAAACCGAAATTTGCATTGGACCGCACCAAACCGAGTATAATGTGGTCCGGTTCTTGGTCCCCATGAATTTTATAATTACTAAAAAAATGATGGACCGAGCTAATATTTGGATCAGAACGAACCGGCCAAAATGGACCGAATGCAATGATGGCCCGGTCCTTGGTCCTAAGATGTATTTCACTAATGGTCCCGGTACTCATGAGTTTGGTCCGGTCCGGACTGGACCGACCCGTTCCACACCTTTAACAATTGTTATCTAAATTTTGTTGATCATAGTGGGCTTTAAAAATGGGTTTATTAATAGCCCAGAAGCTGCTTTTCTTAACCAGAGATTTGGATATTTGACTGTCTACTTTATCCAAAAAATACAAGGCCATTCTTTGCAGGCCGTTTTTCTCACAGTCTAAATAGATCATAGCCCAGCCCAATTTTTTACCCATCAGAAAATACAAACTCCCAATCCCCAACCCTCAATTCGGCAACACCACTCTTTCTGCTCCCCTTCCTTCCAGCCGCCTTTGTAGGGTAGAATTTCACAACTGTTCCACAGCGGCCGTAATGTCCCGACGGTTTCGTCACGAATCCGGCGCAAAGAACTGCTATCCAATACACTCTACATAGGGGGTTTCATTTAAATATGAACGGTTATGTAGTACCAGCTTCAGAAGCCCGCTCTTATATTTTACCTGCCACAACCTCATCGATCAATCATTCACTCAGTTACAAGAGAAGCACAGTAGAATGGCGCCTCTCACCATTGCTCAGCTTTCTACCGATCAACCTTACAGCGAGCTTTGTTGTCGTGTGTCTAGAAAATGGATTGCTTACAATTCTAAGAAGGATGTCATTATCTGTTTGGAATTCATCTTCATTGATGCTGAGGTAATTCTACTATCGCATTCCATTTCGCATTACATTAGTTATGTTCATCGAATGCTGAAATAGTTTCATGTGTCCTTAGGGAACTGATATATGGGTTCGAGTTCTGAGAGATATAATGATGAAGTTCCAAGACATAGTTGAGGAGCAAAGGTTTTATGAGTTCTCAAAGTTTTCAGTAAAACTCACACAGAAGAGCTACCGTCCAGTTGGTAATCCATTAATGATTGAGTTCACTGACGATACTGTTTTTCGACGGATCGATGACATTCCAGATACCCCAACTTACAAGTTCAGATTCCTGAAAACATCTGACCTTCCAACCTATAATAATAAAGTTGATGATCTGATGGGTGAGTGTTTTGTTTGTTTTTGCTAGACGCCTTTATCATTTATATTCTAAAGGCTTGAATTACACTTATGCACGCAGATGCCTATGGAGTGTTGAAAAGCTATGGACCAATTGAAACTCCCAAATCATCAACAAACAGGCCTCCACGAAGGGATATGACAATCCAGTTTTCTGAGTAACTTCTGAGTATCACTCAACTGTTCAAATTAGTAAATGTGGTTTTTAGAACTGATGGTCATTTTAGTATCCACTAGCAATAGGAGATGTTGATGAAAATCGTTGCTCTGAACCCGTTATAGAAATGAGTTGAAATGCATGTTGCTTTCCTTTTTACTCGACTTTAGCTCCCATTTATTCTGTTCTCTTTCCGAATGAAAATCCAAATTTTTTTCTCTGGAAAGAACATAACTTCAATCACTGAAATCTAATGAAAAATCTAATGTTAAGTTAAAAGTTCAATTCATTTCAATTTGATACACATTTAGTGACCGTAGCTTATATATGCCTGTTGCCAATTACTTTTTTATTCAGGGTCTATGTTATTTAATGAAATTTTAGTTGTTTGCAAAATAGATCAGATAATTTAAAAAATAGTGGAACAAACTGAACCACTCATATTGGTTTGGATCGTAAATCATTAAAAACGGTCTAGTTTACTCCATACCATATGATGTATTTATCTCTTGATCTCGTTTGTCCAAATCGTGGTTTATTAGACAAAACCATGGACTCAGCTTGCTTCTCGATTTGTGTTAGCAACTCATTTCATCATTCTCCCAACTCCTTAACGAGGTCGAGGTCTCAACTCTAATCTTGTGAATCTCACCTATGCCTTCATTCATAAATTACACTCCGTCACGAAGTAGAGACGATTGTGTCTCAATATGATATTTATGTTAATCTTTATGACGTTATTATGCAAGTTGGACTACTCTGACTTGATATTTTTTTAATTTCTTTCCTTTCTAATTTTATATTTTAATAAACACAACATTTGCATGGAAGAGAACTGAAACAAAATGACATTTTCATTAACTTGTGATTTTCATTTTTGAAAATATAATGTCAATGTGTAATCTACCATACAGCTAATTCATCTATAATATATATGATCAAATATTCAAATTACTACATCGTCCGAAATTCAAACCCCACCCTGAATTGTACTATATATAATGGGAGTAAAGTTTTGATGGATAATTCAACAAATTTGGATATGTCTATGTCTCGCACCGCACGCTCATACGTCCAGAAAAGAACATACAGGAGAAACCTTCGAGCGTAGTGATGAGATTTCGCCATTTCGGGGTAAAATGGTAGTATGGGCGTAAGCTGGTCAGTGGTCAAACCATTTAAAAGCACGGCGTGATGGGTGCTGCTGCCCCCTGCTGGTTTTTGGTAGTAGAGAATAGAGATGTTAGTTGGCGAGCGAGCTACACAACAGAGAACAGCCGCTCTCTCTCTCTCTCTCTCTCCTCTTTTCTCTCTCCCTGCCTGCCCCTTCAGTCTGCTCTCGGCTCACCCCTCAAGGGCTTGAAACTTGAACATAAAGCTTAGCCTAAGATAGAGAAAGAGAGACAGAAAGAGAAGGGAAACTTTGAACGGATCCAACCTCCTTCCTCCCTCCCTCTCTGCTCAGTTGCCGCCCTCATCATCATTACCACCACCACCACCACCACCACCGTCTCTGTAACATTTCCAACCGCCACCACCGCTCTCTCTTTCCCAAGCAAGTAGACAAGTGAAGGAAAGAAGAGAAAGAAAAAAAAAAGCTTCCTCTCCCTTTTCTACTTCTTCTTCTTCTTCTTCTTCTTCTTCTCTCTCGCTGTCGTTACCGAAAAGGAAAAGAAAAGCAAAACCCATTCTTGTCCCATGATGACACACAAAGTACACCTCTTTCCATACTGAATTTTTTTTTGTTGTTGTTGCAGAGGCTCTGATCTCTCTATCTCAAGTTCTGCGCTTTGCCTTCCTTCCAGCCGTACTAATTGACCTCGCCGCAGGCTACCCTACGCTTCCTTTCTTTGCTGCAACGCTTCCCGTCTGCTGTGTGTATCAGAAGGAAGGTGCGGTGCAGCAGCTGGTGCTGGGTTGGTGTGGTTTTTTAGGTCAGATCTCTGATCAATTAGGAACAAGACAAAGCACTACTGGGGGTGGTGGGGTTTTCTCTCTTTTCTCTTTTGCCCTCCCTTTCCTTTCATCTTTTCCTCTCTCCCTTCCTCTGGATCTGACCGCATAAAGAGGAAACAAACAAAACCAAAACTGTAGCTAGCGATCCATTGATGGGCTCCAAGCTAAGCTTAGCTAGCTAGGGTTTCTTTCGTTAGGGCATTGTATAGCATCATCATATACTGGCAAAGCAAGATCGATCGATCAGGAGCAGGGAAGTAAATTTTGCTCTGTTTCTGTTTGGTCATTTTAGTTGGCGGTAAATTCCTTGTTTGGGAGATAAGGTTTTTATCGGATTGGTCCATTTGCACATCTATCTATCCATCCCATCTCTATCCTTGTTTGTATCCATCTCCAATTCCAAATGTGAGATCAATTCAAACTCCATCACTCCCACTCCTCCTTCCAGCTAATCAACAAACCCCTCCAATGGTCAAACAATAGCCGAAAACCCCTTTCCTGTCTCTCGCTACCCAATCCTCAAGAAACCCACCAAGATTATATAAATATATAGAGATTTCAGTCACATCTCCATCCAGTACTCGAAGGAAAGATTACTGATTAGTTGAAGCTTACATGGCTGATCATCACAACCGTTGGTGGGCTGGGAATGCGACAGCGCCACAAGAATCCGCCATGGGACTCATGGACCGCCTCGGATCCGCCGCTCCAACCCGCAGACCCGACCCGCAGCAGCAACAACTCCACGGTCTGGTAGAAGAACCCGATGTCAGCAGCAGCAGGGAAAACCCAGATTCCGGAGGCGGCAACGGTGGAGGTGGAGAAGGAAGCGGCGGCGGCGGAGGGACGACGTCGATTCGGAGGCCGAGGGGGAGGCCGGCGGGATCGAAGAACAAGCCGAAGCCTCCGATAGTCATCACCAAGGAAAGCCCTAACTCCCTCCGCAGCCACATCCTTGAAATCGGCGCCGGCAGCGACATCGCCGAGAGCGTCGCCGGTTTCGCGCAGCGGCGGCACCGTGGGGTGTCGATTCTGAGCGGGAACGGCGTCGTTTCCAACGTGACCTTACATCAGCCCGCGGCGCCAGGCGGGGTAATCGCCCTCCACGGGAATTTCGAGCTCCTGTCCCTGTCGGGTTCGTTTCTGCCCGCCCCGTCACCGCCCGGGGCAGCGGGGCTGACCGTTTACCTCGCTGGCGGGCAAGGGCAGGTCGTTGGAGGAAGGGTGGTGGGCCCGCTGGTGGCGGCCGGCCCAGTTATGGTCGTTGCGGCGACGTTTGCCAACGCGGTTTACGAGCGGCTGCCGCTTGAGGATCAGGAGGTGGCGGTGGGCCATGGGCCCGGCCCAGCAGGCTCGGACGGCCTGCAATTGCATCATCAGCAAGGGGATCAGAATGTAAACAGTAATAATAACGGGAGTGGAGGGGAAGGGAATGAGAATTCAGGGGGCGGGTCGCAGTCGCCGGAAGGGATGAGTAGCGCTACTGATCATCATCACCACCATCCACAGCAGCATGGGTCAGTCGGTTTCCCGCCGCCTCCAATTTACAATTTGCCCCCCAATTTGTTGCCGAATGGCCAAATGCCGCATGAAGTCTTCTGGGGTGCTCCGCGGCAGCCGCCTGCCAACTTCTGATAAGTGATAAGCATCAGCTAAGCTTGACCCATCACCCCTTTTTCTTTAAATGCTAACTTGGTTGTTTTGGAGTACATTCTGTGGGCAGGTTTTGGTTTTCTGTAAACTTTTAGCTTTTGATGGATAAGTAGGACTTCCCGATCATGTTTTTGGATGTTGATTCTGAATTTTCCCTAATGTTCAAAGTTAGTCGGCTAATAATGACACACAGCTCCCTTAATCAGTCCAATCAATTATCTTCTGTTGAGCTGTTTCGTGTCGGATTTTGGATATCGATGGATCGAGGCTCCATGATGCAGCAGCGAGGAATGCGCTATTCGAATTTGGGTTTTAGGGTTTGGTTAAAGGAATGTCTTTGAAGTACAGTATGCGTGTGTTTTGACATTGATTGAAAGGGAAAGAATAATGCAAACAGCGACTATGTCTCTATTATCTTGAATTGACAGTGAAGCTCAAATTGGGTTTAGATTCATCTGCACCTTGATTAATTGGGGTAGGGGCTCCCACTAAAGCCAACTTGCATGCCAGAATATTTTCTCACGTTGTCTGTCTGGAGGTCAATTCAAACCTTTGATTCCTCCTGTTCCTGTCTAGAGTGATTCTCGTGAGATGCAGAGTCGGGGAACGTTTTGTTTTTTACCCTTTTCACCTCTCTGTTCTTTTCTTCATTGTTTTCGATGCATACGGTGAAAATTTGCCGTGATTTAAGGTGGCTTTCACAGTAACGTTCAAATCTTCTGAGTTTTTCGTGTCCTTAATTTGTCGATACTGGCGGTAATTATTTTTTAACTGATAGCTGGGAGTTGTTGTCGTTCAAACTGAACGGCTGAAAAGTGGCTGGCCAGCTAAGCTTCAAACCGGCAGTCTGAACTGAAAAACGCAAGCACAAGAGAAATCAGGCCCTCCTCTCGTTTAGTCAACGGCGGTTGATCAATTGTTCTTCTTGAACCCTATCTTTGCTTCTGCCACGTCTTTTTTGCTCTTCGGTCAAGAGGGTGGTTGATGAAATCGTCAGTTGGCTGAGTTTTCAATCGAGTGGATAGGAATTTGCCAATTTGGGGGAGTTGACATATACAAAATGAACAGTACTTGTAGTGGTGGTTCCTTAGACTAGGAATGGCAATGAGTCTAGAACAGGGCGGGTAGTGCAATATCCAGGCCCGCCCTGCTCTTTTGGATTTTGACCTGTCCCGCCCCAAGACCTGTTACGGGACGTCGTTATATGGCCCATAACCTGCCCTTAAGAGGCGGGTTTGCCCTGTACGGGACGGGTTTGCCCCGACCTGTCCCATGTTTCCGGTTAATATGAGAATTAAGTCAAGTGATATACTGACCCACAAATTCCAAAGCCTTCCATAAAATAAATTCTACAATCCAAAGTTCCAAAAAGAAAATCCCACTCTCCAAATCTCCAAAGTTCCTCTGAAGTTCAATTCAAATCGGTAAACTGACTGAAATATAGGGGTGTTCAAATGGTTACCATGGTTATTACCAAACTAAATAAGAGTAAATTTCATTAACCATGGAATACAATATTGTAACCAAACCGTCCAAACTAATACAACAACCAAATTAACCAAACTAAAGTTTAATCGGTTTGGTTAATTGGTTAACCAAATTAATCAATATAAAATCACATTATCATTAAGTGAGAAAAATTTCGGTTAATTTATCAATTCTTAGTTTATATAATGAATAAAACATAACAATCAACACTTGGTTATTGTTTGACCCCGATTAGTACCGGGGGATTAGTGTGGAACCTTGATCTGGACTCCCTCGTCTGATCTCCTTGGGAGTGGAAGAATCCTGTGGAGAGTCAGGGTGGCCCCCGGAATCTACACTCCGACGGTCAAGTTAGAATAGGATATATGATAGAGTGTAGAGAGAAATGTAGAGAGAGATAAGGTTTAGAGAGAGATCCATAAGTGGTAAAGTGAGGGAAGTGAGAGAAGAAGTCCCCTTGCTTGGAGGGTCTGGCCTCCTTATATAGGAGTCGGAGGCATCCTGTGGACGCCTCCCGTTGTCATGGACGCCCCCGGTAGACTGGACGCCTCCCGTCGATGGACGCCTTCCGGTGAATGGACGCCTCCCGGTGGTGGACGCCCCCGGGTAGGCTGGACGCCTCCCGACGATGGACGCCTCCCGGTGTACTGGACCCTAGAATGGGCTTGGGCCCAAGGTGAGACGCTTTGTGGTGGGTTTGGGCCCGTATTAGGCGGGTTAATACTAGACCCAATATTTGCCCCTTTGCTTCTTGTATTCTGTAAGAATGGAAGGAGTAAAATAATGCGTTAATGTGTATTAACTTGCCTTACTTGCGAGTCCGCACGATGCGGTTTTGCCCCTTGTGCGACCATTGCTCGGTGATGGATGCCCCTAGTGATGGACGCCTCCCGGTAAGGGACGCCTCCGGGTGACAGGATGCCTCTCAGTGATGGATGCCCCCGAGTGGACTGGACCTTTGCGAGTCTGGACGATGCGGTTTGCCCCTTGTGCGGCCATCGTCTTAGCTTCTTTGCTTAGCATTCGATGTCTTGAGTTAGAGCTCTCAAGTCGTTTGAGATTTCCCCACTAGCCCATTGCGGAGCGTGCTAATATGTAGGCCGTAACTGTGAGCTGTATGCGTTAAGCTGTTGGACCGCGAGATGGGCATGAGCTTGTGTGCATGTTAAGCGTGAGTTGTTGGCTGAATATTAGGCGCTAGCTATGTGCTAGGGAGGGCGGCCCCCACGACTTGAGAGTTTTAACTCAAGGCGGCATTTGTGTTTTGAAGATGCCGCACCTGCTGGGAGGCGGGATCGTGTCAGCTATACCGATGTCACGCCTACTGGGAGGCGGTTTCGGCCTTCTACGTAGAGGGGAAGCATTGCTCAGGAAGTGGGATGCGGTTTTATATCTACGAGAGATGTGAGTGACTAGTGCCCCATATTTTTAGAGCACAAACATAAGCATAGCATGCGTGAAATATGTCATAGCATAGTGAAAATGATTTCTTCATTGCATGGCATATGATATATACTTTGTATAGCATGATTTGTAATAAGCATTTCATGGCATATACTATTAGATATATCTCGAAAGAGAACTTAGCTATTGGAGACGCAGTAGAGAACTGGATGAAACATTGGTGGTCGCATTATGATTCACAAAGCAGCTTTATAGTGCAGCGGTATGTGCTTGAGCTTTTCTGATGTTGGGACGCGGGTTCGATTCTTGGTTGAGGCGTTCTCTGAAATCTTTTTTGTAAATGAAGAGATGTATTTTGTTGGGCCTTCACGGGCGGTCCGTAATGAGCGGCCGATGCGGTCTGATTTTTTGTAAATGAAGAGATGTATTTTGTTGGGCCTTCACGGGCGGTCCGTAATGAGCGGCCGATGCGGTCTTTAGAGCAAAGCGGACCATTCATTTGGTCCCGATTGAAGGCAATGTGGGCTGGAAGTGGCGGCTGCTTGGCGCTCCGGACTTGAAGCGGGCTGCGCGGGATGTGGCTTCGATGCGGTCTTGGCCTTCTTAGGCGGGCTGGATGTTCTTGGGCCGTCGGAGGCGGGTTGACGTTGGCTGGCTCAAAATGCGAAGCGGGCCGCTTACGATGGGCGGTGAAGAATGCTCTACTGGTTGAAGCGGTTGATATTAATAGGAGTCGCACTTTGATTCATAAAGCAGTCTTGTAGTGCAGTGGTGTGCGCTTTGACTTGCTGAGATGTGGCGCGGGTTCGAATCTTGGCGGGCGCATATAGCTAGTCTTTTTTAGTAAACGACTTCCTGTCTGCCTTTGGACTTGAAGTGGGTGTTGACGAGAGGTGAGGCGTGGGCCTCTGAAGCTTGGGTCGTGCTTGAAGTGGGTGTTGACGAGAGTGGAGGCGTGGGCCTCTGAAGCTTGGGCCGTGCTTGATCCATTGATGCGGGAAGTGTCGACTGTCAGCGGTTCTGGAAGGTTGAGGTCGGATAGGCTTCGCTTTGGGCTAGGGCTTTCTTGGCGATTCGAGGAGTGGAATCATGCTGGGCTGGAACCGAAGGTGGGCCGCACGGACTCTGTTGGGAGGCGGCCCAACTCGTGTAGCTGGTGGGAGGAGGCCCGTGATGGTTAGCAGGCTTCTGAAAGAGCGCGTCTGGCTAGCTGCGTGTCGGACTGAGCCCAAAGCGGTTCGAGGAAACAGCTGACTTCGTGGAAGGCAGTTGGGGCGGTCTAGTGGGCTGGTTCAACTTTATTGGGAACTCCACATGACTTTTTCTTTTGTGAGTAAGAATGACAGTGACCACAGCCTGCTTTTTGCTTGCTTTTGCAGGTCTGTCCTTTTCAAAAGGACATTGGAAGAAACGATGTGATGTTGACTGCGAAAGCTTCTTTCTCCAGCTGGAGCGCGGCGGTGCTAGCAACTCCGATGATCGGAGTCCGATTTTTTTTTTTTTTTTTTTGAAGATTGGCAGATCTGGCCAGAATCTTCTTGTCGCAGCCCTCACATGTAGTTGGTGAAGTGAGACTGATTTCTTTCAATCCTCTGATGGGATTTTGCGGTCAGAGCCGTCGGTGGTAATTAGTGGAGAAAGAATCGATATCCTCTCCTCCTTCAGATACCAAACGAGAAGCGTACCAAATCAGGCCCCACGGTGGGCGCCAAAATGTTTGACCCCGATTAGTACCGGGGGATTAGTGTGGAACCTTGATCTGGACTCCTTCGTCTGATCTCCTTGGGAGTGGAAGAATCCTGTGGAGAGTCGGGGTGGCCCCCGGGATCTACACTCCGACGGTCAAGTTAGAATAGGATATATGATAGAGTGTAGAGAGAAATGTAGAGAGAGATAAGGTTTAGAGAGAGAGCCATAAGTGGTAAAGTGAGGGAAGGGAGAGAAGAAGTCCCCTTGCTTGGAGGGTATGGCCTCCTTATATAGGAGTCGGAGGCATCCTGTGGACGCCTCCCGTTGTCATGGACGCCCCCGGTAGACTGGACGCCTCCCGTCGATGGACGCCTCCCGGTGGTGGACGCCTCCCGACGATGGACGCCTCCCGGTGTACTGGACCCTAGAATGGGCTTGGGCCCAAGGTGAGACGCTTTGTGGTGGGCTTAGGCCCGTATTAGGCGGGCTAATACTAGACCCTATAGTTATAGGTGACCTTTAACATAAATTACATGCAACTAAGACAATTATCTTACGGTTAGTATAGAAGTATTCACATAGCAAAAATTTATCACAATGGTATTGGTTAATGAATTGTTGTGTTTGTTTGAATTGATTTAGTCTTTTAGCAATTTTCATAGGCTGAAAAGGACCTTGCTTTCAAGTTTTCATCCAACATAATGTATGAGATTTATCTAAATTAGGCGTTCATATGTTGTGGTCTACACTATACATATACAAATATACATTATAGGAAGAATATTAAGCTTTATATTTTATGAGTCTAAAATGGATGAACGTTTAACCCTTGGGTGGTTATTCAAAGTATTAAGTATGTGTATATATTAGATATATAACTAATTATTTATCTGATTAATTTGGTTTGACTGGTTAGAAGTGTCTGAAACCAAACCTGACCACCTAAACCGAACAAGCTAAAAACTTTAACCAAACTAAACTAATTATCCAAATTAACCAAACCAAATTATCCAAATAGTACTGGTTAAAACGGTTACCATGGTAACCACACCGTTTGAACACCCCTACTTAAATACAACCATAAAATTCCAAAAGATCAGTACTTAATATCTAAGACTTCAATTCCTCTACCTTTCAATTTCCAAACTCCAAAAGAACTTGGAACACCATTGCCACCACTAAATCATGATGCTGCATAACCATAAACAAATGAACTTTTATAAGTCATTACCACCACAAACAAAGTATAGAACAGTATAATAATAAACACAATTAAATGGCCCTACTATCTAAACGCAAACAAGTACTAACAGAAGATTATGTAAACAAAAACAACTACTAACAGGTAACACACAACAACTAAACAGTAACAAACTAGAAGAGAAAAATACAGTATGTACGTTATGCTATAATCGTTCAAAGAAAGGAAAACTAATCTTTGCATAAACACAATCACTTTCTATTATCGTACCTCAATTACCATTATCAGCATGGTCATTGGTTTCCCTTTCAGACCCAATCTGAACCTCAAGTACTGCTATTTGTGCAGGCTGCATCACAAGTTTCACAGTAACATCATTATATCATAATTTAATAAATTTTGAATACATGAATTGGTTCATAACCAACAAGCAAATTCACTACAAACTGCATAATAGCTACCTTCCCAAGGTCAGATATGTTTTGCCTATAGCTCCACCGGTTTCCATTGTGTAGCTTGCTAAAACCTGCATATATAAAAACACGAAATCAACATAAAACACAGTAAATCAAAGATGCAGGGATTGATACAAAAACGATAATCAGAAATGCATCAAATAGATACATGCAGAAGCATCAAAGCAAGCAGAATTCTTCCTCTAATCATGGGACTACATGCCACTCCAAACTGAAACCGATTCCGAATTAGCCATCTAACGAGCACAGTACAAGGGGAAAACTAGGTCAATAGTTAACCAATAAATCCAGCAAGCAGGCAGAAAGATTGTTATTTATGAACAACACGCCACTAATTAAAAGGCTGTGGTTGTGATTAATTCGAGCACACCTTTGATTTTAAGGATGTGAGCAATATTGGCACAAAAAACATAACGTTTCTCCAGCAATGGACACATATGAAGTTCAACTTCTTCCAAAGAAGCTTTTCGCAATAGCTTCTCTGGCAGCGCCTTCAAATTGGGGCAATCCCCGAGTGACAATGTGCGCAGTTTAGTGAAAACAACTGCAGTTTCACTCCAATCCCTCCATTCTGTCCAATTTAACATATTAGTTATGGTGAGCTGCTTCAACATTGGGAACGCTACCGCTGATGAAGCTGATGAGGATTCTGCAGCGAGGCCGTCAACTTCCATCCCTAAGAACTCGGGACCGACGGTTGCCACACGAGGCATATAACAAATGTCAAGTTCTTCAAGACAAGGAAGCTTCCCTAGAGGCGGTAAACTCTCACAATCATCACATAAGAGCAGAGAAATCTTCCTCAAGCTATGTAACATGACGAGCCAGGAAGGAAATATCTGACGGCCCTTGTATCCCTTGACTGTTAACTCCACCAGATCAAGTTGCGGTTGCAAAGCTTCAATTAGGAGTTCATCATTGTTTACCTGATTTCCTTCTTTTACCTCTCTCTCAAAATTCAGTTCCAATGCGACGATTGCTTTCTTTTCGTGAAGTTGGGCTTCACGAGCCTCACTTACATCAGCGACATCTCCTAACCCATTGATGCAAAAGTTTCCCCTCAACTTGTTCAAATTCCCTAAATCCGCCAAAGAAGCGGATTCATCATGATTGCCAACACTGAACGTCGTCAATGTTCGAAGACAACTTAACTTCCTGATTCCTCTCGGTAAATAAGCCTTCCTTGACTCAAGAAAGTAACCCAAATGCCTCAAACTGACCCACTTTCCTATTCCTTTAGGCAACATTTTTAGACTCTCACACCAGTTAGCCTCAAAAGTCAGCAAATTGGAGAGCTCACATATCTCTTCAGGCAACTCTTCTAAGTCCTTGTTGCTGGACAAGATCAGAAGCCTCAAGAGTAACAAATTACCGATCGAGCTTGGAAGCTTTTTGAAAGTACAATCGGTCAGGTCTAGCGATCTGAGAAGAGTCAATTGAGTGAACAAACTTTGTAATCTTCGAACTAGCACGCCGCCGCCTGAAGACCTCTTGGATTGGACTAGGAGGCTGCGTAGGCGCTTACATCTTTGGATGGAATCACTAGCCTGAGGGCACGGGGCCCAATCAACAATTGATAGATGGAGCGCTTGAGAGGGGTCAATCACCAAATGACTGACCAGTGGAGAAATATCATAATGATCAGGATCATGGACGCTGCAACATTCAGATGCTGCACAAACTTTGGCGAAATCATGAATCGCCTCAGGCATCTCAAGCTCTCTGCAGCCTTTACTAACATGACCGCCCTGATCACCCTCCTTTGCAACCACCCGAAGCAACGATCTCATCAGTAAATTTTGAATGTACCTTTCACCCACAACTTCTGCATCTTCATCACTCGACTCCAGATCGAGATAACCTTGCGCCATCCATAATTTCATCAGTTTATCATCCGGAATTTGAAAGCCGCTCGGAAGGACAGCACAATATGCAAAACAAAGTTTCAGAGCAGGGGGGATATGATAATAAGTCGGCCACAAAAAGTTTAGAATATCTTCTAGTCCCCAAAGATCAAAAGATGAGAAACCAATGTAGGAATCCCCTGATCTTCGGCAGCTTACTATCCCTCCTAAAGTCTCTGCAATGAGAGGCACGCCTCTGCATGTTTTCTCAACTGCCCTGACATCACGTTCTTGATAGGCACATCCTTCAAAACTGCCCCATCTTGCAAAAGCAAACCGAGCGAAGAGCATCCAACAATCATGCGGAGGCAACTCTGGCAACCTGAATATCTGATTGGAGTTTAAGGAACGGGCAGCAATCTGGTTGCGTGTTGTCACCAGAACTCTGCTCTGCTGAGACCCATGCTTGAGTGCTGCAATGATAGAATTCCATTTATTAGGGTCTTCTTCCCATACATCGTCGAGAACAAGAAGAAACCTTTTCCCTGCAATTCTCCTTGCTAACTCGGGCAGAATACCAGAGGAGCCCAGTCCCCCGCCCCTGGAATCTACAGGGAGGACTTGCTGAATAATTGATTTGGCTATAGACATCTCTTCAAACTTCTCCGAGACACACACCCAAATGCGAAGCTCAAAGTGATGAGCTATCACGGGATCACTGTAAACTAGCTTGGCCAACATAGTTTTGCCAATGCCCACATACCCAACGATGGAGATGATAACAGGACATGGTTGATGAACAGCTTCACTGGGATTGTCATGATGAGTGTGCTTGACTAACATGTTCACCAGTGCTCTCTTCTCCATCTCTCTACCCACCACCTTATCGGGGTCAAACAAAGAAGAGGTGAGACGACAGGAATCAAATGGCTCATTCACCACCCCTGCAGTAATGCCAACCGACTTTGCATCCTGGGTGAGCAAGATCAGACTGTCATTTAGCTCCTTCAACTTACCATAGATCACGTACCTACTACCATGGCAGCCGAAGCAAAGCCTCGACAGTAGGTAAGATTGGCGGTGCCGACCATTAATGTCATCAATCTCCCACTGGTCCAACAAGTCGTCCACAAGGTAGCATAAGCTTTTGACGTCTTCGACCCAAAGCGTAGGAAATCTATCTGTCACTCTTGCCTTCTCTCCATTAGGGGCCAAGACTTGCAATGTTTCCAATGTACACTTGAGGTCTCCCAGAATACCGTGTAAGATGCGACTGCCCACAGTTTGTTCCAGATTCCACCAGATCAAGCCAAGCTTTCGAAGGGTATTCGAAATCACAGCTTCGAGCATGGCTACGTGACAGTGATCTTCAGAATTAGCGAGGTAAAAGGAGTTATGCCCAAATGAACTGAGAGAAAGAGAGAAAAAAAAGCAGCAAAATAATTTTGGATCTTACCGCGGCTAGTGACAAGGAAATTCTGAGGATGAAGAAGGGGACGGTGACTTTCTATGAGAAAACACCTCGTCTGGTCTCTGGAGTGTGCCGAAGGAAAAAGAGCTAACGGAGACGCGGCGGGTGTCAGGGTCTCGCCTCCCGGTTAGCGACCCACGGCGGGCTACGGTGGCAGAAAATTTTTGCTGGGTTCTGATCGCCGGTGGAAGAAACCGCTCCGATTCGGAAAAGAGAACAAGGAAGGAGACTCACGAATTGTCTGGGACTTTTATTCGAGACTTCGCTACACTTGATCTTAGCCAAAAGGCCGAGATTTTTATTTGAGACTTCGAGGGCTAATTAGCATAAACGGTCACACAACTATTCACTTAGTACAAAATGGTCATTAAATTTCATTTTTGAACGTTTCGGTCACACACCTTTGGACAAATATCAAAACGGTTATTCCATCCAATTCCATCCAAAAAACCGTCAATTAAGTCCAGTCAGCTTAACACGTCATCCCAAAAAATAATAAAAAATGAACCAGTCAGGCCCACTTAACTAGCACACCCGACCCAACCCCATCGTCCAACCCACCCACCCCCAAGTCTATACAATATAAATACAAACCCAAACCGAGAAGTTAACTCAATCTCTTTTTGATTTCTTCTTTTCTCCTCTCTGAAAACCTAATCCTAGATTGAGAGGAAACACCAACTCCCATTCCAAAATCTTCCTCACAAAGAAGCTCCTACTCCTCATGGGCTCCCTCCCAAATTGTAAGTGTCAAGAGAGAGTTGTCTTGCTAACATCGTGGACAGAAGATAATCCGGGTAGAAGGTTCCTCTGTTGTAAGAGAAAGTACTTGGTAAGGATGCTGGATTAGTTGGATTTCTGTGTTAATTATGGAAAGATTTGGTAATCATTATCCATTCTTTCATTTTAACTCCAGAAACTCCCTCACTATTGCAATTTCTTTGAGTGGATCGATCCTCCAGTTGAAGCTAGGTCAAAAGTAGTCATCAATGGACTTTTGAGGAAGATTAACAACCTGGAGAGAAAGTCGAGGGAAGAGATTCAGTGTGAGTGCAGCTCGTAGCCGAGTGCCACTGCTTCTTTTATTTCTACTGCACAAAATTATGGACAATGCAGATCAATGTAGTCAAAATCGCGCTTTAAAACTTAAAAACTTACGATTTTACGCTTCTAGGTCACCAAAACGCTTTCGTTTCCACATAAAAACTATAGTGTATAAAATCGGACTAAATTACGCTTTAAAGCTTAAAAGCTAGTTCACCAAAACGTTTTATGCTTTTAGTTCACTAAATGTGTATTCTTTTCATGAAATTTATTATAAAAAGTTAATTTAAAGATAAATCACCAAAAATATGATACATTTGAGATTAAAAGATACATAAGAGGTACATGGAAACATTCTCAACTTCAATAGAGTAATCTAATTTACTAGTTAGACTCTTCCCAAATTCATTAGCATAGAGGGAAATGTGGCTTATTGTTAAGATTTATGCTTATGAACTTCTCATCAAGAGGCTATAAGTTGCTCTACTTTAGACATGAATTACAAGTATTTAATAACTTATCTAAATTATGTGCACTCATATTTTACATAGTATATGTCATACTTAACAGATTTTTTAGTTATTTTACAGTATGCGTCAAAAACTTACGCTTTTACGCTTTAATTCTACGGTTTACGATTTTACCCCTTTTACACTTCTAGGTAGAATCGCGCTTTTGACTGCATTGTGCAGAATAGGCAACCGAAGTGAAGATCTGTATGCACGGCTGATAAATCTAATTTTTGTAGTGATTTGTGTGACTGTGGGAATTGTTGTTGGCAGATATATTTAGGAAAAATTTGATTTTCGCTGTTGTACACCCTTTGTTTGGATTTGTAATCCTTAATTTTAAGGTTTGTGTTGTGGTTCAGATATGTAACAGGATGGTAACAAATCTTTGTATTCGAGAACAAATTGGTGACATAACAAATTAACAATTCACTTAAAATCTTAACGGTCACAATTCTTTTGCCATTATAACAAAATGGTCACACTATATAACATGAAAATCGGCAGCCCGTTTAGTACGAACATTTTAGACCTGGAAATGAAAATCAACATTATATAAACCTGGAAATACAAGCATTACACCATACTTAACATTCAGTTGAACGATTACAAATACCAAGCGTTACATTCTACTTAACATGGATTGGCTAGTGACGAAAGTTGCCTATCAACCAATCAACATGCCCAAAAATCGAGCCTGCTGAGCTCCACAAAAACAAGTTCCCCAACATACTTCCCAAACATCAAAGTCTATCCTACTGTTGTTGCTTTACTGGCTAGATCTGCCCCTAACCCTCCCCCTAACCCTGCTAATTGTGACCTTGGTTCTAAACCGGGTGATGGGTGGACAAGCAGGAGTAGGCATAAAGGCTGTTGTCTCAGCTCCTGGAGATGCTCCCCGCTGTTGAGGAGAGTGGGCTGCCTCCCTTGGTTCCTCGCTTCGTCCACCATTCTGAACAAAGGAAAGATAACAGTGCATGTCATTAAACATTTATTTCTCAGTTAGGACCATGGTTGTCAAACCAATTTCAAGTCGGCCGGTTCAACCGGTACCGGTCAGCAAATCAGCTGGTAAGGGGCCGGTATTTAACTGTGGTCAAATCCGGTCAATGCCGGTCAGATCCAGTCAAATCCGGAAATTCCGGCTGGTTAGACCAGAAACCGGAATTTAAGGTTACGCACATTATATCCAAAAATAAACATCCTCAATAGGATTTGAACCAAGTACCTCATGTTCATTTTAGTTTAACTTACAAACCAGTAGGCTACAAGGAATTTTGTTGTCTATATTAACCTTATATGTTATATATCTAATACTAAATTTGACACAAATCATTATAAACATTAATAAAATTCATTTAATAAAATTTTATTTTTAAGCATCTAATGTTTAGTATTAGTTATCAATTCTTAGCTATAAATTATTTTGTGTGAAATAATTCTTCTAATTGCTTTTTCATGACTAATTTATTTGGAATTGAGGATTTCCATTTTCCTCATGTATTTTATTAAAACCGGCACAACTGGCATGAATACTGGTTGTACCACGGTCAGACCATTCCACTTACGAAACCGGCACACCGGCATAAACCGGTTTGACAACCTTGGTTAGGACAATAGAATCATCGTTAGATACAAACCTTTTTATGAAAGCGACTGTTGTGTCCTTTGATATTGCATACAGTGCATGTCATTTCAACTCCACTTTTTGACATTGCTTTGTATTGTTTTCCCCGCTTGTCTTGCTTTGTTTTCTCCAACTCCCAAGCTTCCTTGCGTCTCTTTGTTTGTCTAGGAACCCTCTTCTTCTCAACAAAAGTTCATGAGTCAAGTTCGATGCAATCATCGTGAAGCCATTGGGTTGAATCATTGAGAGGGTGGATAGGATATGAGTAGGACCTCTTACATGCCTCTACACGATAGCAATCAGCCATATACAACTCTAGATTATCCTTATTCATCTTCATGCAAGAAATGGCATGTTGACAAGGGATGCCACTCAGCTGCGACCTACCACAAGCACACGTTCGATTGCGCATATCCACAACATACCTGCCCCTGTATGACTGAACCTGATACTCCATATTTCCATTGAAAGTTGGGAAGCAAAAAGCAGCCTACTCCTTACACTTGTTCAATTTCAGTAATGGCTTAGGGCATATACGAACTCTTCTCTCCTCCAAACGCTCCATCTGTCTCTTCCTAACATCAATTCTCTTCATGTCTTTCCCGAATATATCTTCCAGACAAGACAAAATTGACATATCTCTTGACTCCAGAATGTATTTGTTGAAGCTCTCACAATGGTTGTTAACTCCCATGTCAGATTTTCAAGCTCTTCTGTAGAATGCCTTGCACCATTGTGTTCTTTCTCTTTCCATCATCCACTGATGAGGTGTTTGATCCCCAATCTTGTAGCCTTGTATTCTGCCAAATAGGTGGCACTTGCAGCTCCATAGAAGAGGCTCTTCAGCCTCTTAGACCTACTAAACTTGCCACTGAAATTCACATTCATTTGCCGTACACAGTATCGGTGCTCGGCATTAGGGTACATTGAATTCATAACATTCATCAAACCCTAGCACAAAAAGAACAAATAAAATTTCCAGATTTAGATTAAACTCCCAAACGGCACTAAAACATTAACAACATTATTCAAGTTAAAATTGAACTTACCTTTTGCCTGTCAGACATGAAATTCCAATATGATGATTGGTCAATATCCAAGTCTTCACCCAAATGAGCGATGAACCACTCCCATGTGTCATGACACTCCTTCTCTACTATTTTCCATGCAATGGGGTACATGCAATCATCCCCATCGATACCCATGGCTGAAAGAAGCTGCCATCCAGACATAGACTTCAGAAAACACCCATCCACACCATTAATTCTCCTACATCCAGCTTTGAAACCTTCTTTTATAGGACCCAAACATATGTAGATACTCTCAAAGGTTCTTCTGGTATGTTCAATCACCACTGATGTTCCAGGATTTCTTGCCTCCAACTCTTTCTTGTAGGCATATAGCTTTGCAAAATGGAGGCTGTCCTCCACATGCACTGTTTTCAAAGCCATCTGTTTTGTTCTATATGCCTTCATTCGATTAATCTTCAAGCTTAAATCTGTCATAACAGTCTGCACCAGATTCGGAATTGACCACGATGGATCCACCCTCCACCAAGTTAGGTACTTCTTCACAAGGAAAGACAGTGCAATAACTCTTAGGTCTTCATCAACTCCACAAGTATGCTCAAGATTGCCCGACCTAATATGAACAGTGTCATAGTTCTTCCTTTTGCATCATACAACTTGAACCCACAATCCTCCGAGCACACACATATAACTCTCTTCTTGTCGTTGGTTGGAAATCTCACGTCCCTTCTTTGAGTCACAACATGTGACTTGCAAGCATCTTTGAACTCGTCAAATGATGCAAATAGTTGGCCAATCTTCATCTCAGGCATCTCCATATCCCGTTCAGCTCGATACTGTGGGAATATACTCTCGATATTGAAGACATCGTCATCTTCTTCGCTGCCCCATCCAGTCTTCTCCACCAACTCAGCATCACTTGCAAACTCATCCTCTCTCTCCAATACCTTATCAAAGTCATCTTCTTCATTAACATGGGCAGCAGGTGGGTCCTCTCTATGAGATGAACCTGTGGAATCTCGTGTTTGTCTCCCTCCTCTAGCTGTATGTCCTTGTCCCCTTCTCACTGAACCCGAACACACCCTAACTTCTTCCTCCGAAATTCGAACAGAATAGACCATATGTGCAGTATCAGGGCTGCCACAACTAGAATCTGTGTGCTTGATGTAGATTTTGATAACCCTCTCTTCTGGAACGTGAGAACCCATCTCCAACACATCATGATCATTCTCCAGTAACTTCAGCCCGTTCTGCATATCTACCCCTGGCATCAACCAAAAAATTTGCATTGCATTTTCCACTTCTGATCTCACCATCTCCTTTATTTCTAGCATTGACAATTTGTCGACATCGACAAAGTCAATATAGTCCACCTTGCCATTACTATACTCCATGTGACCAAGTTGTCCCGTGTTGTTGATCTCGATGGTAAAAAGGTCCGAAGTTCTTGCAAATAAAACAAATGGAAAGATTTAAGTTTTGAGTACCCTAAGTTGTCTCGTGCTGTTTCACATGGAGACCAATTGCTTTCCATAAACAAAAATATAACTTTATACCATTCTGTCAACATACACTTTCAAACCACCAGCAATAGAATACTATATGAGGACCAGTTGGTTTTCATTCATATACACTACCCGACAACAAATTTCATTGTTTATACCGACATTCACACCCACCCAAGTGGTCCACCATGTTCTGAAACCCTAAAAAGGTAAAAGTTTCTATCTATTGAATTACTCACCATAATCAGGCGACCTCCACTCGTACGAAGCTTCCACTCCTCCATTATTGGTCAGAAGCAGCAGATATGGAGTTGTTTCCAGGCACCGGGACAAGACAGACAGTGGCGCGATTCTTCGGGTTGTTCGTCCGACCAGAAGAGAAGAGAAAGGTTGCTGATGGGGGAGGAAGGTTTCGGAAGGAGGCAGCCGGAGTGGATAGGAACCCACGGCGATCGATGAAAGCAGCTGGTGGGGAGGGAAATTGACGGCGTGCGATGAAAGCAGTAGGAGGGGAGAAGAATCGCCCCTTATCCCGAAAGAAAGCGACTGCGGAGATTCTTCTTCGCTAGCGCTGTTACTCATTCAGACTTGGGGTGGGTGGGTTGGATGGCCGGGTTGGGTCGGGTGTTCTGGTTAAGTGGGTCTGATTGGTCCATTTTTATTATTTTTTGGGATGACGTGTCAAGCTGACTGGACTTTGTAGACACCACTTTTTGTTCGGGGTTAAAACATCTTCAATTAAATAAAATTAGTTTTATTGAAGGTTTGCTATAGCGAATCTTAAATGATCTTCAAGGTAAAACTTATTGATAATGATTCAGATGGGTCACTTAACAAGATTAAGCAATAACAAATCTTTATCAATGCAATTGATAGTGAAAGTTGTGATGTTTTGCTTCGGTTTGATGAATTAAACAATTTTACAGTTAGTGTGAAGTTGATCTTTGGATTGGGTTTTAAGACTTTGGTTCTAGTTAGAAAAGTCAAATTATGAAAATAAATAAGCATCCTATTAAACTAAATTGGGATTAATACAAACTAAAAATTATAAATACAATTACTAAATAAATGTTAAATCACAACTAATTAAAATAGTTCTTACAATCAACAATAAGCTAAAGAGCTCAACTCCAAAACCAAAGTCAAAGTCCAAAGTCAACAAAAGTTAAAGTCAACTTGATCAAACTAGTCAATAATAGTCAATCAAGTCAGGTCTGACCAAACTCAGATCGGTCCGACCCAAAACTGGTATTGTAACATATTTGGGGACCAAGCTGCCTTTTCCTTATAAAAAGAACCCTTTGCAGGACAAAAAAAAGGCCTTGGCTCACTCTTCTTTCTTCTTTTATATACACAGACAACCAAAACTCTAAAAATAAAAGAGAATCAATAAAACAACACACTTCCTTTCTTCTTCTTTCTTACACACAAGACTTTCTTCTTCCCCCATGTTTCCTTCCTTCTTCTCTGAACAAACAGACCAGCTCTAAAGCTTCATCTTCCTCTTCGGCCACAACAATCCTGCACAAAAACAAAACATAGTCATCAATAACAACAATACAAACACAATCCTTACATCACCAAAAACACAATCCTTACATCACCAAGAAGTCAAAACATCATCATCTTAATCATTCATCTCAATTTCTATCTTTCTTTATAACATAGCCATTTTAAAAGGAAAACTCAATGAACTGCAAGCAAACTATAAGCAGGCTGGTTTTTGTTTAATAGCGAAATAAACTCAATCTACCTTGAAAGGAGTCAGATTCAATCAATCACAAACATATCCCACGATAACTACTATTATCTACTTATCTTTCATTCAAGCACTATCATCACCACCTATTTCCTTACGTCTATCTCTTCTCTCAATCCATTTTTCTTTCGTGTATTTTCTAAGGGTTAATACCTTATTTTGGCCCGAATTATGATCATATAATCAATTTTGGCACGTGGCTTGAGAAATTAACATCATGGCCTCAACTATGCAGGATATAGACTAAATTAGCCCGACACATGCTTTGACCGTCAATTTGGACGGTCAACACCATTGACCATTAGTCAACACGCCATGTCATTGCCTAGTCAGCCTAAAAATCATTAAAATTTTAAAATTCAAATTAATTTTCTAATTATTATTATTTATCATTTTGAAATTAACCAAAAATTAAAATTCAAAAAATATATAATAAATTTTATCTTTTATCTTTTGGGACATTTGAAAATGATAATTTTATAAATTAAAACAAATTATGAAATTAAATTTTATAAATATAGGAAATATAAAAAACATAAACCAAAAAATAAATTTTCTAATTCAAATTATTTTTTAAATTTTTATTATTTATCATTATCAAATTAAACAAAAAATAAAATTATAAAAACATTAAATAATTTTATATTTCCTTTTTTTGGTAATTTTAAAATGAAACATTTTATAAATTATCAAAATATTATAGATTTTTTAAATTACCCAAAAATAAAATGTAAAATATATATTATTTTTATAAATTTACCATTTTCAAATGTCCCAAAAGATAAAACATACAATTTTTTAAAATTTTAATTTTTGGTTAATTTCAAAATGATAAATAATAATAATTAGAAAAATAATTTGAATTTCAAATTTATAATGATTTTTAGGCTGACTAGGCAGTGACATGGCGTGTTGACTAACGGTCAATGGTGTTGACCGTCCAAATTGACGGTCAAAGCATGTGTAGGCCAATTTAGTCTGTATGCTACATAGTTGAGACCAAGATGTTAATTTTTGAAACCACGTACCAAAGTTGATTATTTGGTTATAGTTCGGATCAAAATAAGGTATTAACCTTTAAATTATAGTCATCGGGCTGCTTTCTATAATGAGTTTTCATTTTTCCAGTTAAAGCTTACCGCTTATTATTAAGCATACACTATAACTACATCTACACTCCCTGCTAAGGTTATTTACAATTTCATTAAGCTTATCAGCTCTTCCAGTTCCTCATACTAACTATTATAAGGGGTGGTAAACGGTCGATAAACGGTTAAACCGGTTACCGATTGACCGGTTTCCGGTACACCGGATAGCTGAGCAGCCCCACCGTTTTTCGATACCGTATTGGCATCGGTATTACCGATTACCGAATCCTTTCGGTGGCGGTTTTATTTCGGTACCCCGATTACCAAATGTGAATAGCCTGGGCACTGGGGACAGCCGGACAGGTGAATGGTAATGATGACAAATGGTGGGGAATTTAGTGGGGACCCGATTATTAACTTAATATCCAATGGTCAATGGATTAATGGAACTATGGAAGTCACCAGATGATGAAAAACATTGTCTTCTTCTTCACAACAACACGTCCAGGTCCAGGTTAAGTTGTTCCATTCAAAACTTGAAAATAGCTTCTACGGCGGGGGAAGCTGCACGCACCGGCAGTGTAATTAAATTAAACAAACAAAGTAAAAAACCAACAAACAGCAATAGCTGCTGCAGCGAGGGAACATGACAACAAACCTGAAACTGACGGAGAGTGCACCGTCAACGAAAACTGATGGGGATGCCGCACCGGTGTCGGCGATGCGGTCGAGCACTGGGGTCGACGGAGAGGACTCGACGCGGGTTCGACAGAGAGGTTGCAGTGCTGGAGTGGGCTGCTATGTTGCGGTTCGTCCATCTGAGTGCGCCGGTGTCTCGATTGGGGTTCCAATTGGGCGGCGGGATTCGTGATCGTGAGGGTTGGCGGCTGGGTTAGGTAGGCAGGAAGCAAGACTGCGAGAGAGGGGAGGGGAATTATTAATCTGTAATTACTAATTCATTTTCCTATATTAATCTGTAATTACTAATTCATTTTCCTAATAGAGAACCAATTGCAAGTTTGTAAATTAGAGAATACTATTGTCGCACTGCGTCCTGCAATTCCGGTATCAGAAAACCGGCTTTCCGTCGGTTAGCTAGCTTCCGGGTGTCGGTATACCGCCGTTCCAAATTCCCATTCCGACAACCGTTACCACCCAGTCAACGGTTTAACCGGTAATTGCGGTTACCGGTACGGTTACCGGTTAAACCGTTAACCGGGAAACCGAATCACAGCCCTAATAATAATCTATCGAACTATCAGCTACCCATCTCATTATTTAAATTGTCAAGTTTGCTATGTTTCGTTTCCTCTATTTCTTGAGTACTTTGATAATAGAAACACTTCTATAATCATGAATTCTATCTAAACCCATCCTCAATCAAAACCAAATAAAACCATTACCACAAAGCTAATTTCCAGATTCACATTTGTAAACTCATATTAAAACCACTACGATAGAAACCTCAAACTAACACACAACCACAGCAAGCACGATCTTAAACCAAAAGCCATACCATAGTCAAATTCCCCGAATCAAAACCCCCAACAATCACAGAATTCACCCACCAAAGCTAAACATACACAGATTTAGAAAGATTAGAACTACCAACAATCAAAACCAGATGATTGCCGCAGTTCACCTATCATAGCCAAAACCAGCGGCCTTTCATCCCTACAACTTACCATAAAAATTTCACGCCGCCGACAAAACACGGAGTCGCCGACGGTGGCCATCTTCATCCTCTCTGATGCTTCTGCCCCTTTTCCCTCGACAAAGACCACAAACAACAAACAAAAAGAAAAGATATAGGTCGGAATTAGTAGCAACCAGAAAAACTCGAACACTCGGACCAAAATAGACAAACAGATTGAAAATCTCACCCACAAATAGGGTCTTATCCGAGTAAGAGGATCCAGTGACTAGGGGGCTGCTTAGTCACTTGACTAAGACCCTCCCTACCCTTAGATCTGGATATAGTAATCTGATGGTTAAGAAGTGGGAAGAGCTATTTAATTAATGACATGGGTAGTTTGGGTATTATGGAAAATTACAAAGTATACAAACCAGACTTACAATCAGTACAAACCATATAAACATACGAACAGTACAAACTAGAGCGACAAAACATACAAACAGATTTACAAACATTACAAACATATAAACTGTACAAAAAATACAAACTAGACCGACAAACAATACAAACCATATGTAGACACCCCATTTTGTCCGGGTCTATTACTCAATAAGAAAATTCTAATTAAATATTGAAATATCGTAAGATAGATCGGCCTTTGCGAATCTAAAATATCAACAATTGTATAGTTTATTCGAATTCGATTCCGATGGATCTAATAGGATCTATTGGCTTCCAATCTCAACTTTTGGCACAACACAAATATAATAATAATAAAAAAGAACTTATTATTAAAATTATTACTTAATTACAATTACAAACATAATACAAATTACAAATATAAATTACTACATGAAAATTACAATCAATACATGTTTCTTCCTTATCTCTTTTGAAGCCAACCATGGACCTGCAACAAAGGGAAACAGGGTCAGTTTTCAAGTCCACATCAAGCCTAAAGTCCAAGTTCAAGCATAGGCTACAAGACTAGAACCCACATGTAAGCCAACCAAAAGCAGAGCAAGCCCACAAGGATCAGTCAAGACCATATATATTGGTTTTGTCCTTTATTTTCTGTAAAATAGAAGCAGAAGACCTCAAGGCAAACATAAGCCGCCCAAAGAGGTTTGTATTGAGCAAAACCCAGGTTTATATTCCAGTTATGATAAAATACTATTGATTTATTATCTTCTCTACTACTCTTCCTTTTTTCAATATCGTTCGATTATTGTCATTATCAGCATCTCTTTCTTCACAATATACTCTTTAAAAATCAATCAACTCCTATCGAACTACACCGTGACCAAATTGAGTTAAAAGAGTGATTGAAAGCTAATCAAATCCCAGATTTACATTATCAGCTCTTCCATTCATCTCTGTTTTATTCTCGACCCATTTATCTACTTATTTCAAGCACAATTAATTTACTAACTAATTAGTCATAATAGCTTATAACTATGTCTACTCTTATGTTAAGCTAATTACTAATTATGCTATTTACTCTCTGTTATTTACTAGTTCGTTTATATATGTCATATTTCAATTCTCGCATCATTTTTGCACATACATAAACACAGATCATGCATACATGGAATGAAAACCAAATCTCACATATTCATCACATCCCACCCACAAACACCAGATCACAATCCCAAAATACCAGATCTGTGAACCTTTCTCCAATCAACAACATGATTCACTTTTCCGGTTTAATCTCTCCAGCCGTAGTAAACCGAGTTTAGGAAAAAGTCACCTAGATCTAAGCCATCTCCGAAACCTGCATCCCAATAAATCAAACCATCAGTCAGAAATAGAAACAAACCGAAACCCTTTAAAACCCACATAAAACCACAAAAATACTCACAGCAAAAAAGGTCGACCGTCGACTTTTCCCCTCTCACACCAATATAAGAGAATCTCGCTGGCCAGAGACTTCTTTCTCCCCTCAATCAAACCCAAAAATAAAAATGGGGAGAAGGTTAGAAACATGCTCGCACACCAAAACCCAGAAAAGGGGTCAGAATCCCAGCAAAAACCCAGAAAATCAAACATGCAAAACCATAATCCGCCACTTTCCATCGTTTTGGAGGCTGGCCGGCGCTCCAACGGCGTATTATAGGCTAGGATCTTGTCTGATTCCTAAGTGGAACGATAGATAGGATCATGGGAAGTGATTTTCCCCTCTTGTTTCTCGGAAAGAAGAAGAAAGTAAATCGAGGGAGGAGGGTTTCTGATTTCAGAAGGCATGGCGGAGAGGGAAGGAATGGTTTTTGGGGTCTCTGGTTCGTTTCGTAGAGAGAATGGAGGAGAAGAGATAGATGAGTGGAGAAGAGGAGAGGAGAGTGTTCTTTTTTTTTCTTGTTCTTTCTGCAGATGGAAAACGCGAGTGGAGAGGAGAGAGAGGGTGAGCGGCGGCCTACTGAGAATGAATTAGGGTTTTGTTTTCGTCTTAAGAGGAGAATATATACCATAAATTTTAAAATAACCAAACTACCCCTAGGGTTCTCAGTGTATTACTCGGCCTTGCCACCGCCCTCTTCTCCTTAAAATCGACCAAAAAAGAGGTGTGTACGTAGGGTTCGAAACTACGAACTCCAGCTTTCACTCTGCCACTAGTCAACATACAAAACCACTGATCTACATCATATTCCTTGAATTTTTAAGTCCCTCGCCTTATTTTGTTCGCTGTTCAATCTTTATACGTAATCAATTAAGGGTATTAGAAACCTCGATCTAGTTAGATAATAATTTTCCTATAAATATTCTAAATATCTTTTTCACTATGTCATTACCCATTTGTATACATTTTTTTCTAAAGATTCGGTTAATTGAAATCACGGTTAATAGATCATGATGATTCTTATAGTATAATCATTCCATAATCATTAATCAATTGATTCTAACTAGCTAAAAACTTCTACTTTTCATTTATCAAGATGTACTTCAATAGACGTAAAATCTCATTTGTGTGCCAATAGTATACGAAATTTATTTCAACTCAATAGTCCAATAGGACTTTAAGTTAAATCATTAACAATATAAAACACCCAACCCTTAAAATTTATCAATTTAAGTAGTACCAATTTTGGGCGATGTGGGGTGTGAATACATTTCCCCACACGTAACCGTACTCCCGAACCCAAATCTCTATAATTTTGCAGACCAAATCCCGGTTTCAACCATATATATTGTTTTTGTCCTTTATTTTCTGTAAAATAGAAGCAGAAGACCTCAAGGATAACATAAGCCGCCCAAAGATGTTTGTATTGAGCAAAAACCAGGTTTATATTCCAGTTATGATAATATACTATTGATTTATTATCTTCTCTACTACTCTTCCTTTTTTTCAATATCGTTCGATTATTTTCATTATCAGCATCTCTTTCTTCACAATATACTCTTTAAAAATCAATCAACTCCTATCGAACTACACCGTGACCAAATTGAGTTAAAAGAGTGATTGAAAGCTAATCAAATCCCAGATTTACATTATTAGCTCTTCCATTCATCTCTGTTTTATTCTCGACCCATTTATCTACTTATTTCAAGCACAATTAATTTACTAACTAATTAGTCATAATAGCTTATAACTATCTCTACTCTTATGTTAAGCTAATTACTAATTATGCTATTTACTCTCTGTTATTTACTAGTTCGTTTATATATGTCATATTTCAATTCTCGCATCATTTATGCACATACATAAACACAGATCAAGCATACATGGAATGAAAACCAAATCTCACATATTCATCACATCCCACCCACAAACACCAGATCACAATCCCAAAATACCAGATCTGTGAACCTTTCTCCAATCAACAACATGATTCACTTTTCCGGTTTAATCTCTCCAGCCGTAGTAAACCGAGTTTAGGAAAAAGTCACCTAGATCTAAGCCATCTCCGAAACTTGCATCCCAATAAATCAAACCATCAGTCAGAAATAGAAACAAACCGAAACCCTTTAAAACCCACATAAAACCACAAAAATACTCACAGCAAAAAAGGTCGACCATCGACTTTTCCCCTCTCACACCAATATCGGAGAATCTCGCTGGCCGGAGACTTCTTTCTCCCCTCGATCAAACCCAAAAATAAAAATGGGGAGAAGGTTAGAAACATGCTGGCACACCAAAACCCAGAAAAGGGGTCAGAATCCCAGCAAAAACCCAGAAAATCAAACATGCAAAACCATAATCCGCCACTTTCCATCGTTTTGGAGCCTGGCCGGCG